GGTTATAGCGAGATTTACGTACGCTTATTCCATGTCTGTAAACTCCTTAGTAGTAGGTACCTTTTGAAACAAATTACAAATAATACCCTTTACCTTTTTTTAAAATACAAGTTTTCACAAAATTCTAATCTCTAAATTTTCTTCTGTTTTTTTTTATTTGTTTCTAAATTATAATAATTTGTTTCTTATATAGGTACTTAATTAGAAAATCTTGAAAACTTAAGAAAAATAGATCTTTATCAATAATATCCAACATTATACTTTTTTAAATTATTATGTGACATTAAAAAGAATCCTATTGCTTAATACAAAAACTACTTATTGTAACTTTATTTTGTTTTATTTTACCCCAATTCTGTGAACATATCGTAGTCTTCATAATAATAACGGTTCCAAAAAAAGAACACTGCCATAACCATTTTACCAGGCGCTTCTCTAATGTGCTGAAAGAAAACTTAAGAGGTCGTAAATTGGTAGACTTAAATATCAAGTTGACTTTAGATTTGTATACATTTAATATACCTTTTTATGGTGTCATTAATAAATTTTTAATTATCATGGTCGGCCCCGTGGTAAGTATGCTCTTCAGTGGGCCCACATTGATTTAAATTTTACCACGAAACTATACATACATTTTATTCATGTGTGAATTCACGGATGGCGTAGTCACGGTACAATTATAATACAGTACTTTAACTTTATACAAACGGACGAAACGCGAGCTATACCTACGCGCCTCGATCTCGGGGTGAGTCAGTTAATATGACGAGTAGGAAATATTGTGCTGTTTTTGGTTGTATGAATTCGTCAATAACGCATCCAGACATAAGTTTTTTTAAATTACCTGGAAACTCTGAAAGGTAAGACTATAAAATAGTTTTACTTACATAGGTAGGTACATAATGTGTGTCTTTTTAATGGATAAGTATTTCCTTTTATCTCACGAAAACAAAAGGTGTTTGGCTTAATAAATAAAGCGAATAGAGTAACGGAAAGTTATTGAGACGATTGAAATAGGTAGTTATATGCGGTTCTGAATGAATCATGATACGGTAGGTACCTACCTACTTACGCTAGTGTTAAAACTTCGGTGCATGTGTGTTTTGTTACTTTGCATAATTCAAAGTAAAGACGTGGTATTTTATTATTAATAATATTTGTTTATTATCTGTGTGTATGAATAATACTAGATTTTTTTTTTACCGTCTGTGTGTCATTAGTTTTCGAAATTTACAGTGTTTCTGCTGCTACTATAACAACATATATCACTAAAAACTGTTTTTTTTTCTCGGTATTAACAACAACAGCTAGACTCAAATATAATATATAGATGTTTGAGGGTTGTGATTTTAAAACATTCGTAGTCAGCTGTTCAGCTTTTTAATAATTAATTAATTGGTGACCAAAGAATTTTTATTTTGAGTTGTTGCGAGTTGTAGGTAGGTACCTAATTTATAGAGACGTTAATAAGCTGAGATAAAAAGTTACTTACTCGTCAGCTGTTTCTTGCATTCTAGTTGAATAGGTAGGTGTTGGAGTTTCTAAGGATTGGAGATTTGTAACGCGTAAGGAGAAAGCACATTTTTTTTTTATTCTATAGAAGGATTTTTAAGCTATTGCATAGCTATTATCGCGGACTCTGAGCGCGGCGCGGCGCGGTGACCGAATCAAGAAATTCTCAAAACCTAACGAAAAATACCTGACACCACGCAGATTTTTTCTTTTAAAAAAAAAATTGTTATGCAATAGCTTTACCGCGGCAGTCTCCGAGAGTGCCACATGTTATTTTTTTTCAGACGTCTTCAATGGTTGCAACTGATCCGGCGAGATGATTTGGAAAACAAACCCTAACTTTAGTTCCTACCAAGTTTGTGAAAAACATTTTAATTTGGAGGATGTATTACATTCATCAAATAGAAAACTTTTAAAAAAGAATGTCCTACCATTGTTGATGCTGCCAAGCTTAGCTAGTACTGATCCAGGAGTCTCTCTAAAAGAAGATAAACAAACCCAAACTGCTCCGTTGGTAGGAAATGAAAATAGTACACAGACTGAAAATGCAACAAGTGAAATCTTTGCTCAAACCTCAACGAGTCTCTCTAGCAACACTCCAAGAAAAAGAAAATTGAAACTTGAACTCTTCCAATGCAGAAAGAAAATAAAATAATTAAATCTACCAATCAAAAAACAACACGCATTTTTATTGAACACTTCCTATTCAATATACAAAGTATTTAATTTATTTATATAAAAAGGATATTTACAATCACAAATCTAAATAGAAACAGAAAGTAGGCAAATATAATTAAAATGCTGGAGACGGAGAGGCCTAACGCATGTTTACGTACCGTGCGGCTGTAGGCAATTATTTCTATCATGCGGCCGAGTTACACTACTGTATTATAATTGTACCGTGGCGTAGTGGTTTAAGCGGTCGCCATGCCGCTTCCAACTACGCTGTGTTGTGGGTTTGATCCCCACATAGGCGACACTGTGTGATCCACAAATTGTTGTTCTGAGTCTGGGTGTTGTGTCCGTTTCATGTATGTTTATAAAGTCCCCCGAGCCACAGGATATATTCCTAGAGCAGGAGTGGTTACAAAACAAAAAAAAAAATTATATACATTTTTTTCTTTCTGAATTTTACAAAGCTTAAGGTGAGGCCGCCCCGGAGCAGCACACGCAATATCAATACATAGTAAATACATATGAAATTTCAAGTTTACCATTATTTAAACCTAGAAAATAGCTTTGACCATTTGAGAACCTAGTAAGTGGATGGACTTGCTAGGTTTTGAAATGGTCAGTCTGCCTTACTAGGAAGTTGAAGAACTACCTACCTATTTAAATTACCTCCTGACCCGCAATAAAGTTCCAATAAACATATGCATGAACACAGCACTGCGAAAGAACTTTTTAAAAGAAAAGCAACAATATGGATGCTTTCGTTGGTGTTCTAATTGGAATGTGTTAAAGGTTTAATGAAACTCACAGCATCGTAACATTAAAGTGTACGTCGTGAATTTGAAGACCATAGTCAAATATAGCTAAAGCGTCATTTAATATACGTTTTTATACAGAATTTGTATTTGTAAAAACCTTGAATAACATAACAACTTACATAGTACCATCACAATAAAATGTGGTATAACATCCCTTCTGAACAAATTGTCAGAATAGCACTATATAATTAGTAATTACATAGTGCGATTCTAGTAATTATTATAGGAACTGAGAACAGGTATGATGTTTTTCAAATGCACAAGTAGGACCTTCTGACCAGGCCAGGTGATCATGCCTAGTGATTAGTTCTACATTGGTCCTTTCTTAACAATTTGCTTTTAAGTAGAGGGTATTTAACACTGTAGCTGTAACAGCTTAACTTAATAGGGTCATTGACATATTCTAATTGATCATTTTAATCAGTAAAGCTATTATCATATTTCAACTTCTTGGATGAGGAATTTTATTACATATAAGCTTCCTAGGTTTAGTTACAAAGTAAATAAAAGCTTTTATTAATTTTCCTATCTCTAAAACATCAAATCAATTCCGTATGTACATCAATCTTAATTTCTAGAGAAGCAAATAATACTTCTTTTTGAAAAAAAGGCACAAGATGTGTTTGTTGTTCACTTTTTAAGTACTTTATATACTGATTATAAATAGTACTGCCTGAAATATATGGTTTCAATACACCCAGTATTTCTATCAAGCAAACACTGTGCAACTGCTTTATATGACATTTATGCAATAATTCATAAAAATACAAGCAACTAATTGCTGTCTTTTCAGTAGTACAGTTGTATGTAAACATGGGTATTTTTTAAATATACTAAGGCTGTTAAAAACGACACTTGCAGCTGCACATTCTTTTTTGTTTTTCTCAAAATTATATTCAGTAAAAGTGCAATATAACAAGTAGATATATTACAAAATATATTTCTTTGGCAGTAATTTATTCAACCCTTCTTATTTATTTAGCCATAATAAATATATTCAGATCACAATTAGTTAAGTTTATCTGGCAACATTATTAATATAAATGCATCAGTCTTTATATCAACAACTATCAATCTCGTGATGAGTAATGCAACAATGTAGAAGTGGAGTTGAATTAAATTTTTAATAGAGATCTTTATTTTATCTTTTGATTACCATTTTAGGTACAGGGTTCTACATTCGTTCGTAACAAAACCAAATGCCACTATAATAAATAAATGAATAACTTTCTCCCTAGGTTATTACACTGGGTGTAGCATTCTAAAGGTTTGATCTTTTCAAAATTATCATAGGAGGAAATAATTTGCTTAAATTACACCTTAAGAACTATGCAGAAAGTGTCTCTATCACACTAGATTAACAAGGTTAAAAGGACCACTACATGTGACTGCCAAAAACCTACAGTAAAATAATACTAGAATAGACATCACATACTCATTTGTGACAATAATGGAAAAATACTTGTAGAATTTCAATCATGAACGAGATTCATCATATATTCTTTCTAAATTCTCTAGTCTTCAATTAATTTATATGTAAAAGCAATATTGAATTGACAGATTAGTGCTTCTTGTTCTAGAGTATTTTCATTCACATAGTAAATTCATTGTTTTTAATAAATATAAAGATAAAAAGTAATAACACTATTTTGTTATGGAAACAAAAAGAACATAGGCGATTATTATTGTTCCAAATGAGAAATAATGTTTACATATTCAAACAGATCTAAAATCATCTCCTGTCTGTCACAGAGATCGCCTCACAATAACTGGCAGTCAACACAACATATTTTACTTAAAGTAGACATTAAATTACAGTTACCCTTTACATTGAGATATATATAATATAACAATAAGGCTAACAAACCAATAGTTTAGGCACATCCAAGACTATATTAAGTGACTATGTAACTACAAATATAAGTACAAAAGGAAGAATTAAGTTTTTCTTATCAGCTAAGTAGATAATCAAGTTCTCATTAGTATGATTTTTAAATTTCATTTACTATTGTCTATGTTAGAACTAGTTGTCTGATTGCTAGTTTCTTGTTTGGCACTTTCATCATTTTTATTTTCCATTTGCAACTTCTCATCGTCTATAAGGTACATAGCTTCATCGTAGGTAGGCGGTGGGGGTTCAGAACTGGATGGTTGTGGTTTGCTTGTGGCACCATTTGATATTAAGGCATCGTACGAAGGAGGTAATGTGGCACTAGATGCAGTACGAGGTACCTGACCACCGTAAGCTTGCTCTGCTTGGACTACTGCCATATCCTAGAAAAAAATAATTAAAAATACAGTATTTCATACAGTACTTGTATATAAAGACAATAACCATATTGAAGAGGAAGTATTGTTCTAGATTTAATCCAACCAAAATATCAAGGCCCAAGAAATATAAATCATTTAAAAAGTTATAAAGTAATAAAACAAACAAATTGAGTCCACCTTCAATGTTTTATAGTTCACATGATCATAATAAGTGTTTTATACTTTTAAGTATTGATTTCATTATTCATTGTTACATTTTAAAATCAATAAAGGTCTATGCTACTATGGGGGATGCAGGCAGATTAGTATTCAGAATTGTACAATATAACTGGCATAGGAGGGATCTATCAAATGATGCAAAAACATTGACTTATACTACTTAGTAAATTAACATTACGATTACCACTAACATATTGAATCAGAATCAAATGTACATACCCTGATTATCGCTCTCTGATGCAGAAGCATTTGAATTACACTCTTTCTTCGTAAATACAACATACTTTTCACAGCAACCATCATTCCAGAACATATAAAAATCGGTCCTACTAGCCACATGTGTCCTAAATTGCTCAAAATGTACCCATCGGCATCTCCTAATGCTAAAACTGTAATCACAGTGCCTACGGAAAATAAAACCATCGACAGAACAAAGTAGGAATAACTGGTGCAGTCACATCTGCCAAATCGCTGGTCTTCGTCAAAATCATAATCTCGACGACGAAGTCGATGTAAACGTTGTCTAATAAAGGGGCTATCGAACACGGTAGCCATTTTTATAATTACTTTTGAACACTGTTCACATCCAACACATATTCTGCTTTGACGTTGTCTGTACAAAATTGTAATGCATGGAATTAAAAACTTTCTTAAAATATAAAATACATAAAAAAAATACTATGCAAACATATGAAAAACAAGTCCGCATTAGCAAACAATCTCCGCTCATAGACTACACTATTTATGCATAGACATTTCATGCTAGGGATGAGCATCCCTAGTATGAAATGATCATGAAATTATCTGAATCGATCTTTCAGGAGAACGATTCAAATCATTACGATCAAATGTTTTTTTAAGTCGATTCAACGAGATGTGATCTTCGCCAAGATCGAATTGTATGCCTCTACAACAAAGTTATGTTTAAAGCGCGGGCCATAACATATTCGAATGTCCCTGGTGTCATGATATGTGGCACCCCTTTAACGTGGGTGACTAAATTTAAGTACTTGGGTCATTAGGTCACTGATGATCTTAAGGATAATTTAGATATAGAGAGGGAGCGCAGGTTGCTGGCTGTTCGATGTAACATGCTGGTTCGAAGATTTTCACGCTGTACAAATCAAGTAAAGGTTACACTTTTTTATAGCATTCCGCCAGTCCTTTTACACGTGCAGTCTTTGGACCAGTTTTACGCAGAGGACATACAGCGACCTGCGCGTCCAATATAATAACGCGTTCAGGATGCTGTTGGGGCTGTCGTGGCGTTGTAGTGCGTCCGGTATGTTTGCGGAGGCGCACACAGACGACTTTTACGCAATTTTAAGAAAGAGGACCGCATCCATGGCCGGCCGGTTGCGCACCGCTACTAACAGCGTCCTGAAGGTGTTTATGGATCTGTGGGACTCCTCTCTGTTGCGCCACTGGGCAAAGATCCACACCGGTCACCAAAATAATTGATTGTGTTTACTAACTTTAGTTCTTAAGTTTCTTTGTTTGTACTAACTCTATGGACTATGTCTGAATTAAACGATTTGAATTTGAGTTTGAAAGTAATATTACTTATCTACCTACACATTGAATGAGATTAGTTTCGAGTTACGTCAATCAAATATCAAAAGCGGTGATGTGTGAAATATAAAGGTAGGTGATACTATACTAATTTATTTGTTTATGTTATTGTTTAGTATGTTAACATTATTACCGTTCACTGAATTGTTAGTCTTCTTCCTTTGTATTATTGTGATACGAAGCATGTGAGCGTGCAATTAGTTTAAAATATTTCATAATGTGACTTCTCCAATAAAATCAAACATCACAACAGTAATGAAATTGCTCTCATAAAGCAATTATTAATGTTTTTTTCCCTATCGAAAACGTTATTAAAGCGATCTCGGGTCAAGATTATATTACAAGTAGTATTACCTATCATACCAATTATATTTTGTATGACGATAGAATCGATTGATATTCGATTCTGCTGGTGACTATGTTTTTCTTAATTTTAACTACATTATCTTGATTATACCGAGGTAGGGATATGTCGGAGTACCTTTAACCTGTGTAAATATTTTTTATATGTGTTATATACTGAAATTGATACACTTAGCGGATTTGGTTCTAGTTGGTCCGTCCGACCGAACGTAGGTATTACCTAACTTATAAAAACTCCTTTGATAAGTTAAAAACTCTGTGTTGATAAATCAACACTTTTTTCATTGTTTTCACAAAATTTGATTCGGTTTAAAACCAAATCAAATCAAATCAAAAGTTCAATCAAAAGAAAAAATCAAAGTTTATTTGCTATGAATGTAGGTACATCAAATTACAGATGGAATAGTTTTCATTGAACCGTGTACATTCTGCCTTATAATTAAGCATGCAAAAATCTATAAAATTAGGGTCGATACAAATTAAATTAAATCTGGAATGGATAAGTTCAAAGAAAAAAGAAAAAAATCGAACAATTAATATTTTAGATGTCAATGGTCCGGTCCACAAACTAATCATCAATATAGTGTATGTCAATACTTCAGAATTACCAAATTACAAGTCATAGGAATTATAAATTATGATTACAAATTTGTATCTATTAAAAAATCATTGATTGTGTAGTAAAATTTGTCCATAAGCATTTTAATTTATTTTTGAAATTTCCCATTACATCATTTTTTAAGTCATCAGGCAATTTGTTATATATAATGGGACCCATGCAGATAACACTTTTCCTTAGTAACGCCGTTTTATAGGAACCAACACGTAGAAGGTTTCTGTATTGGTTTCTTACAGGTCCTTTTCTAGTTTCTGCCACAGGAGTGAAAAGGTGTTTATTGTTCAATTAATTTGTTTATACCCTCATAAAAAAATGTTTTCTCTTTGTCTTCAAAATACGCCGAAACTGCCTCTTTAACTTCATCATCGTTGGTAAATTTTTTTACCCCGCAGCTCTTTTTTTTATTTTTGGAAACAGGTAATAATCGCTGAGGGCCAGGTCTGGGCTGTAGGATGAGTGATTCAACTCTTGTGGACGGGCGCGTTGTCGTGCAAAGCAACACATCTTTTGTCAATTTCCCCCGTCTTTTCTCTTTAATGGCTTCTTTGAGTCGCTCTAATATTGAAGCGTAGTATTCTCCGGTTATAGAAACACCTTTATCTTTATAATCGATCAATAATATTCCTTCTGAGTCCCAAAAGACCGTTGCCATGAGATGCCCAGCTGACTGTGACACCTTAAACTTCTTGGGAGGTGCTGTGCCCTTTTTATGGCACTGCATGGAGTCTTGTTTCGACTCAGGTTCATAATGATGAAATACAGCATCCTTGTCTTCATTACAAAGGTCTAAAAATGCACGTGAACACTCTACGCGCTGTTGTTTTTGTGTCGGCGTGAGCATTCTCGGCACCCATCTTGCACTGACCTTTGTCATGCCAAAATGATCGTGCAGAATTCTAAAAATGGTTGTATCAGATACTCCAACCATTTCTGCGAGTTGTTTCTTCTTTAGTCGAGCATCGTCGAGTACAATTTTTTCGCCTTTTTGCATAAGTTCTAGCGTGATCACCTCGATGCTCCTGCCCGGCTTCGGGTCGTCTTCAAGGGATTCCCTTCCTTGTTTAAATAAACTGTGCCATTTGTACACCATGGTTTTTCCTGAACAAGAGTCGCCGTAAACCAATGAGATCTCATTCATTATGGTCGCAACTGATTTTCCTTGCTTGGTAAGGAAGTTTATAACGGCACGATATTCGATTTTTTCCATGTTTCACTTTTCACTCCCGATTATGTTGCTTGGTTGACGATAACTCAAAGACTAATTGTCTAATAACAATGAAACCTGGTATTTATACTAATTATGAGTCACTGAACACGTGGCGATTCTAATGAGCCTAATCACCCCCCTCCAACCCTCTCATTCCGCGAACTTAAAAACGCACCCTCGTATATAAGGATGGAAAGGTTAGTATTGTAAAGGACTTAAACATTGGTTTACAGCTGTCTGTGGTCTTTGAATTGCACATCGCTCTGATATAGCGTTTTTGAGCTTTAAATACCTGCTCTCTTGAACTACAATTGCCCCAGAATATTATTCCAAATCTTAGAACTGATGCAACCAGACCGTGGTAGGCTAGTACAGTAGTTTGAATGTCAACTTTTTTGGACAAGTTCGAAAGGACATATGCGGATGTATTAAGTCGCTTACCAATTTAGTTGGCTGTCGATATATATGCCTAAGAATTTAGCAATATGTATTTGATGGATGTTTTGGTTATTGTATTTTACAGTAATATTTTTTAAAGATGTGCGTTGGTGGAAGTTAATTAAGTTAGTCTTTTGTTAGTTAATTTTCAAATTATTTTGTCAAGCCAATCAATTATGTCTTTAAGAGTATCATTTATATCCCTTTCATACCCATCCAACATTTTACTATTGCAGTGCTATCATCTGCAAATAGGACCATAGGGTTCTCGATATGTCGTGGTAGATCGTTGATATAAATCAGAAAGAGAAGCGGTCCAAGAACACTGCCCTGAGGTACACCATATTGTATAATTCTGCTTTCTGATAGGTATTTTCTTTCGGTCTTAGTCTTTAGACATATTCTACTTATTTCCGTGTGTTGTTTACGACTTTTGGTATGATTTTAGGAGGCTGAGCACATTTTCTCTTATCCCATAGACGCTAAGTTTGTTTAATAGTATCTCGTGATTGACACAATCAAATGCTTTCGTCATATCTGTTAAAATTGCACAAATAGGTATTCTTTTGCCTACGTTTTCCATAACCGTATTTAAAAAATCATAAATTGCTGTATTTATACTTTTGTTCTTTCTAAAACCTTTTTGTTCTTTGCACAAAATGTCATGTTTGGATAGGAACTTATTAATTGATTCATAAATTACTTTTTCTACTACTTTAGAAAATACAGGTATTAAGGCTATTGGTCTGTAATTAGATAATTATATCCTCCTTATTTTTATTTTTTTGTGGAGCGGTTTAACTACAACTGTCTTTAGGCTATTGGGATATACACCGGTGGTAATGCTTATATTTACAATGTGGGTAAGATATACTGCTATATTATTTGCCACAAATTTTACAACTTTTGTAGCTATACCATCATACTCAACACTACTTTTGTTTTTTAAAGACATTATTGCTCTAATAATATCTTGAGGTAATACTGGAGCCAAAAACATTAAGGTTGGGTTTTTTATTACGTTACTACTTTCATGTAATAGTACAGGTGAAATCAGAGTCTAGTCAATAAAGTAGTTATTGAAAATGTTAGCAATTTCTTGAGGATCTGCAATAACTGTATCATGCAATCTAATTTGGCAGATGGGGTCATAATTATGTGTTTTATTGTTTATGACTTGCCAAGATGCTTTCGACTTATTGTTTGAAATTCTAATAAAGTGGTTATTCTGTGCCTTTTGAGTCCATTTAACAATTTTACGAAATCTTTTAGAGTACTCTTTAAATTTATTTTTATTTTCACTACTTTTCTTAAGTCTGTAGTGCCTTAAAGGTTACGTTGCATTTGACTGCACACACGTATACCCCGTGATACCCATTTGATTTTTTTGCTTGTTTTGATGGTGACTGATTTGTAAGGAAAACAGAGATTATATAACAACTGAAAGTGTTCCAAAAAAATATCATATGCCTCGTTTGCGTTTTGCGTATTATATATTTCTGAGAACGTCAGACAACTTAAATAGATATTAAATTTAATTAGGTTTTCCAATGACAAATCACGTATCCTTATAGGCCGAGAGTTTAATCTATAAGTTTTATTGACTTTCATTCGTAGTATTTGCGCCGTATGATCAGACAGAGCAAAGTCTATTATATACCTCACATTGACATTTTGAACGAGAGTTGTTTGCAAAATTATCTATACATCTGTTACTGCATAGCCTAGTTGGTTGAGTCAGTTCCAGCCAAAGATTATAGCCCAATAGAAAATATTCGAAATCTAATATCATTCTGTTCCTTGTTAACCAAACTCACACTCTCGCATTCTCGTTGACACCGTCAGCACCGGACGGACCGGACGGCATTGTGTTAATGATGTCTTCTAATCAAATGTGTGTAATATAAAATAATAAATAAGTATGGGTAGGTATACCTACATACTTAAGTTTTCTTATAGTAGGTAATGTAGGTAGGCACTTTCTATTGATTTATTGTAAACTAATTAAAACGAAAGATGACGTCAGGTGACCAAAAATTGCTCACAATGAAGTGTAAAATACAGTTCTTTTATTTTGTAGGCGAGTTTTCTACCGTTTAAAACTATTTTTTAAGGGTCATCTATAGACGACGACAACCACTTCAATTTGCTAGTATTTTTCATTTTTCTTTCCCAGAGAACTGAGCAAACTCATTGTTTTCAAAACCTAAAATACAATCTTTAAAAATCTTGTTGTCATAGTTGTCAATGTCAAAATTGACATTGTTTTCATGATTATGTTCATGTTTTTGTGACTACATATTATTCTCGTTTAACATTGTTGTCTCCTGCGATATGGCTCTAGATATATTATTTATTGCGATATTTTTATTAGAAGCGGGTAACTATATATGTGAAATTTCCTTATGAACATCACCTACGTTGCGATTTATTCGCATTGTTTTATTTTTGTTTCAGTATGTGCGTCGTCAAATATAGTTATACTTACGAATAGTGGACCTGCAGTGCGTGGCTCCAATGTGACATTCACGGCTACTATTTTAAGAGGCTACACAGGGGAAGAGCTGCAATTTATATTTAATGATGATGCAGCACCGGAACATTACCATACCGTGAGCCATTGCATTAAACATATTTTAATGAAGTATATGTAAAGATGAATTTCATAAGTGTCCTCGTTATGGTATAAAACTAATATGCGTGCCTAGGATGTACTCATTATCATAGTTATCATGCTTCCCAATTATTGTATATATAAAATTAGTTAAAAATGCAGTTTAAGTTACTTGGTATAAGAGTGTGATTGGACCTCTAAGCTCAAAATTTTCTTTTTATTTTAATTGTAATATGCCTTGGATCTCAAATAAAGTATAAGTATATAATAAATTGAAACTACACATTTTTTAATTGTAGGTAGCCTCTTAAATAGGAAAGCAATGGTATGGAAGTCATATAACTAGGTGCCAGCATAATAATAAAGATAACAAATTGTCTGCAGCAATAAAGAAAGACAAAAATTCATATGAGTTTCATACAATTCTTTTGAAATTAACAAATTCCACAATAATATGTTCCTCAAAAGTAAAATTACTAAAATAATGAAAAACAAAGAATATCATGTTGCATATAGCTAATAATGTTACATGCGAGTTTTACTCTATAACCTCCTGTTTACAAATAGTTAAGCCTTGCCATGAAATCAGGTAAAGCAACTGTTGGCCACACTTGAAAATCATCAGACTGTTTTACAAAATTTAATTAACTGTAATTCAGTATCATTTTGTTTGCACTATTATGATATTCTGATCCAAAGTAAGTAAACTAAAATTATGTTATAACAATTTAAAAATATATTGAAGACTAAACAAGATTAAATAAAATAAAATTGATTAAAAAAACAAGAAAACATATACTTAGAAGATTTAAGATGAGGAACATTAACACCTATTCCATTTCTTTTAAATTCTTTTTTAAGTGTAAATAGCCTGTGAATTGAGAAAAAGTTTATTCCAAAGGTTTTTTAACTTCTATATATTACATTATTTATTTCGGTTGTTGTTTGCATGCGGCAGACATTCTGAGAACTCTGTGCCTTATCAGCAGGCTCTTTACTATTGAAATCTTTTCAGATCCTCAGCACTGAGAGAAGTGTGAATTATACTGCTGAATATAGCAAGGACATGTATGAAGCAGGCCAGTACAAAGGTCATGTGGAAGTTCAGAGAAAAATATTTTTTGACATGTGGCTAAACTTTGGACGAAATGATACTGCATTTACTTTGACAGGTATTTATGCATAGGACTCCTTTCTACTAAGTTCTAATATGTAAAACTATAACTTACTTTTGCAAATGGTTTGTACATATTCAGTTACTGTAAACATTTTTTTTATGTGTAAATTTTGTAATGCATTTGTGCTGTCGCTTAACAGTTCTACTTTCGGAAATTATGTAATTAGTAGACTTGCAACAAATATTCGGTTACTATTCGGTATTCGGCCTATTCGGCTGCTTTTATTATATTCGGCCGAATACCGAATATCTAGATATTATTCGGCCGAATACCGAATACTTAAATAATATATTTTGTCATTGAGAAATAATTGGTAAAATGAAAAATTAAAATCGATTGATTACGTATATATTAATATTTTCATTTCTGTTATAATCATTTAAGTAGTCATTGGTGCATAACACAGGTACATAATTTAATTCACGTCTGTACAAGTTTTTGGCGCTAAAATCCAGCCGAATACTTTTGCCTAATATTCGGCAATTCGGTCAGGGGCCTCGCCGAATATTCGGTATTCGGTATAGTGCCGAATATACTATTCGTTGCAAGTCTAGTAATTAGTTTAATTTGCTTGTACTGTTGAATTTAATTAAAATTTTAAGAATGTCAAAATGTCATAATATTGTAGAAAGCAGGAAGTAGTTCTTTGTGGCTTCCAGGGTATAACAGGCTCCATTTCAATAGACACAATTCTATTAAGTGGAATAGATTCTGAAGTGAAGTGAAGAAAAGAAAACAAGAAGTAAAGTAAACCTGGTATCACAACTGTTCTTTAATGTCAAAAAAAATATTTTATATATACATAGAATCTCGGCTTTCAGATCCAGTATTAATACCGGCCTGCACCCTTGATTTGATAGTATATTAGGTATTACTAGGCATGCCTTTTCAGTTCTGTCGTTTCCATATTTTCCAGCAATTTTGAATTTGGAACTGTTCTATATTCGAATGTGTTTAAATTTTGAATCTCAAAACAGTTGAAAGTATTAGGATTAATGCTATTGTTTAGTCACAGCGTCGATTGGAATCTGTCAGGTTATGTACGAAAATTAATCTTTTCTAAGGAAAATGTTCGTGCAATAATTTTCTACAACTTTAGAAGAGGCCTCACACGGCTTCAGTGTTTTGAAGAGCTAACATCTGTGTTCAGTGATGAAGCCCCATGTCTGCGGACTGTCGAACGCTGGTATTTAGAATTCCAGCATAGACATACTAGTGTTAGTGACAAATCTCGCGAAGGACGCCCAAAATCCGCCTTCACTGAAGATAACATCATTGGTGTGAGACAACTAATTCTCGAAGATCGTCATGTGACGTAACGAGAGATAGAGGCTCTATTAGGCATCTCAGGGACAACCATTCAGAAGAGCTTGCATGAAGCGCTTGGTGTGAGAAAGCTTGTTTGCCGTTGGATACCGCATCTACTTTCCGACGATTTACAAGGCGGCCCGCGTCAGATGGTGTAAGAAAACTCTGCAAAGGTTCAACCGAGAGAGTCAAATCACGTCTACGACATTATCAGTGGTGACGAATCTTAGATTTTTGCCTAAGATCCTGATTCCAAACAACAATCTACAATCTGGGTCTTTCAAGACGAGCCAAAGCCGGCTAAAGTTGTTCGTTCTCGAAGCACTTCAAAGAAGATGGTGGCCACGTTCGTTGGAAAAACCGGCCATGTTGCGACTATTGCACTTGAAGATCGTAGAACGGTTAATGCAGAGTGGTATACCACAGTTTGTTTACCACAAGTCATCGCCGAACTTCGAAAATCTAACTCAAAGCGACGCATCATCCTGCACCACGACAACGCAAGCTCACACAGTGCTCGTCAAACGATTGAGTATTTGAAGCAGGAAAAAGTAGAAATTCTTGACCATCCTCCATACAATCCTGACCTAAGCCCTAACGATTTCTTTTCATTTCCTAAAATTAAGAAAAGTCTTTGTGGTCAAAGGTTCCAGTCCGTTGAAGAAGCAGTCGACGCTTTCAAGTCAGCCATTTTGAACACCCTTACTTTAGAGTGGAATAAATGTCATAATAACTGGTTTGAGCGAATGGAAAAGTAAGTAAAGTATTAAGCTACGTGGTGAATACTTTGAAAAACAATAAAAAGTACTATAAGGTTCTAGTTGTGTTTTTTTTCTTCAAACGACATACATAAAAAGCATGCCTCGTATAGGCCTTAATATCATAGTTTAGTTTAGACTTAGCATAGTTCCAAATTGCGTTATTTTTCCTGTTTTTTTTTGTTTTTGTTGACGGATTGGAAAATCCCTTCGGCTTCTTGGGGATATAGGAGCCAGGAGTATGTGGTGATTCCACTAAAAACCACTCCGACGGCCAGCCTTAGGAGAATGCTCTGCTCTGGGGAGAATCCGGGCCATGTGATTTCAGGTCCCCCCCAGATCGACGCCGCGCCATCTCAGGGAAAGTCAGTGGCTTCTCCCTGCCTCTCAGCCTATCCAGATGTTGGGGCCCGATCACATTTTCAGTGCGATCAGGCTGCCATCCTATTCCCTACCGCAGCAATTAATCTGCATCCAGAGGTCCCCAAGCTTCGAGGTTAGGCAAAACGGCACCGACAGCACGTTGGCGCGTGTTCCGCGGCTGTTCCAACAGCGCGCCACTGCGCCAGTGCCTGTCGGTGAGCGTTTCGCCGCATTTCGAGCTCGTCCTGGTCGTTCCCGCTCTCACCCCGGCGGATCGCGCGAGTCTGGTCGTAGACCCTCGCGTCCATATCCGCCAGGATATCAAAAGGCGGGAAACGTGCCAGGACTGTCGTCGCCTCCGACGATATGGTGCGGTATCCGAGTACGATCTGAATGGCCGATACCCGCTGCGCTTGATTGAGCTTAGCTCGGCAGCGGGAGCAGGCCGATAAGCGCTTTGCCCACATCGGCGCTCCGTAGAGGGCAATGGATCGCATCACCGCACAGTAGAGGCGGCGAACTTCCTCCCGCAGACCAGCCATAAAAGGCCAAATACGATCTATAAAAGATTATTTATACCGCGGCGTCCGTTGTGGATATTTCGGCACTTACGAATACCTAGACAAAATAGATTATGGGACTAGTCCAGAAGAGTCATAATGTGCTATATCCTGAATATGTATATGTATATATATCATCATCGAAAGTGAACTAATATCTTTGTTTCCTTTCGTGGCTTTATATTTCATAAGCTGCCATTCCGAACTCATATTTTTTATTTATTTATCTTTCATCTGGTAAAGTAAATTTTTATGTATATTTTTAACTATACCATAATGTAGGTACTATGTAATAAACTTGCAAGAAATATTTGACATGATCTGACACATTGAATATTTTTAAACTACCTGGATACTATGAATAATTACAAAATATTAATCATTTGGTTCACTACATTATAATGTTCAATACACATAGTGAATATATCCTTCTTATATTCAATGTTATCGGTGTTTTTACAGCTGTTTTAAAAGATTAGTAACGTTATACATTAGTATGATTATGAGTCATTACCATTTACCTATGATTTGCTTCACGTATCATGGTAACATACCGTATATATTTGTCATGTAGCCTATTTATGTTTTATCTGTTTTGCGGCTATAACCATATAAATAAATAAGATCTTGCCTTAGACAAGAAAACCCAATCAGAAAGAAAATCGTATTGTTAAGTCCAATCCTAAAACTCTTATAATAGGGATGTTGACAAAACGGCACTCCTTTTTTTTACAACAAAAATCGGTCGCCAGTGTGATCCGGTTAAAACTTTCGACAAATAAAAAATGTAGAAGGTCAACATACCTAATTGTAGGCAAATTTGTTTAAAATATAATAAATATATTCGTTAATGTTTAGTTGAAAAATACCAGTTCAAAACATTGCTGCCGTTCATTATTGCAGATAATAATAATAAAGAATAATGAAAATAATAATAATGTAGATAAGTTATGGATATTTTGTATGGCTGAATTAATTATTTTATTTTACAGATACATTAAACGGTAATTTGGTATTGATTCAAAACGAAACTGAGAGGCCTAATAGTTTTGTGGCCGTCGGCAAATCTGTAACCCATTTCGTCAGGATACCCGATAGCGAGCTGAAATTCTTAACGGCGAACTCATCATCTATAGTTACTCATTGGCTAATAGATTGTGTGCTAGTGGATACAACAACAGACTTCGCTTTGAACTATACATATGATGACGTTATGGGTACACATGACGTTGAGGCCATAGTTGTAGCTAACAACGAGCCTTTAACGACAACGACGACCACTACTACAACAACAACGACAACGACGACGACGACTACAACAACAACAACGACGCCTCCTACGACAACAAAAACAGCACCTACAACTACGTCAACAACAACAACACCTAAATCAACAACAACAAACACAACCGAAACGCCTAAATCACCATCAACAACTATAACAGCAAAACCAACAACTTCTAAAGAATTAATAACGAGTACGCCCACTACTCTGAGTAATTTAACGGACACCAGCACATCAGTGTCCCACAAGGTGGCGAAGAGAGCTATTTCTAACAGAACTGTTATGAAGCCGCAGAAGGATGGTGGAAGTTATACCTGCAGACACAACATACCCATAGGCAAGAACTACACTTACGGACGTTTTCAACAAAGTATTAAAGTACGAGGTAAGCAGATTTGTATCATCATTAACAGCCTTTCATAGTCCACTGCTGGACATAGGCCTCTCGTTAGAAAAGAGGTTTCGGCTTACCATAGGGTTTGTGTCAAGTTATCCTTCCCTTTGCAGTGCTGCAGTTTTATGTAGTTTGCTCCCTTAGTCGGCTCTTACTACACCCACGGGATAAATATTGGTGGCGACACAGTATTCTTAATCCGTCATCACACAGAATTCGTAAATTTTCTCAATAACAATCCTTCCTCTAGCTGTATGTAATGTTGTCTTTAATAGACATATCAATTTATCGTAAATATAAAACAGACACGACAAATGTTATCTATTTCCTGACATTCGTTTCTATTTAGAAATGTCTTTTGATAGCTCTGTGAATGTTTCATATGTATATTATAATGTATAAGTTTGATTGTAGTCACATGACTACACACACATATGTGGCTTTGTAGTACCACGCTCGAATGTGGATTATAGCCATTATAGTGATACAACACGTGGCTTATCAGTTAGGTTCGTAAATACATACATTGAAAAACATTTGATTAACTGCAAACATAGGTAACACAACTAACATATTTTTCTATAGTACTTACACCACATATATTTATAACGTAGTATAGCATGATATAAACTTGGTATATGTTTACTTAGCAATAGTATTTTCTCTCTCTCCTCTCATACTATCGTCTCTCATACTCCTATGCCTATAATTGCTGACGATGGTGCTAATGCTGTTGCGCACATCACTAAACAAAAATTTCTTTAAAATTTTCTTATTTTGGTTAAGCGATTCCCAAAATACTGTTCTGTTGTTAATTCGAACTAATTTGGAGGTTTTTGCGGAAATATATCGTTATGTAGTCTACGCCAAGCCATAATTTCACCACATTACGTATACAAGTCATAGGGGTTTCATTATCATATCCAAAATCTAGCAAGCCGCTTTAGGCCAATTACGTCACGTCAGTCAGTAGCTAAAAGGTCAGTCGGTGCCACACAAGCCATTCAGTGTAACACAGGCCATTTAGTAGGTAACACATAGGCCTCTTCATCATAATTATTAGGTTTATTATTAAAAAAGTGCAACAGACACAGGTAAATAATGAAACTACAATTTCAACATAATACAACAGATTTAACATTTTGTTACCAAATAAAAATTTCAATGACATTGCTGCAATTTTTAATTAATTACAATATGATTGCATTTCGAGGTGATGTTTTTTTAAATCGTGTTTTTACTATTAAAATTATCTTTGTTAGTAATTTAAAATTCTAGGAACGGAAATATGTTACTCACTACTTCAAAAAATACGATACATTATAAAATTTAACTTTACAATTTTATCCAATGACAGTTATAACCTGTTTTTATAAAAGGTCTTATATAACAGTTTTCTCATAACTCTTAAATGTATAGCATATATTAAAATAGTTTTTTTACTTTTTTTTAAAGATAACCCGTATTAGGAGTATATCCTGTGTCGCGGGGGACTTTACAAACATACATGAAACGGACACAAATAACACCCAGACTCAGAACAACAATTTGTGGATCACACAAAGTGTCGTCCCATGTGGGGATCGAACCCACAATACTCAACGTAGTTGTAAGCGGCGTGGCGACCGCTTAAACCACTACGCCACCCCTTCAGTCTTTGTACCGGGAGGTACAAAATTTATATGTGGGAGAATTTATAGTAGGGATACTACTCCCACATACAAACTTTATGTATTCCAAATTTAACATTAGTTCGTACGCGGAATTCGCTAAAAAATAATTCTCTTTACGTATTAGTATATAGTAATGTATACATATTTTGCATACTAGCGACCGGCCCAGGCTTCGCACAGGTGCAATGTATGACATCACATTACAAATCTTATGAATTCTCGTATTTTCTCTACTATAATATGCATTTACGTATTGCCAACCCTATTTTATAACAACCCCATTTAAACACTTATAGGGAGTTTTTAATACTTTTAACTCTTCGTTTTTATTACTTTTACCAAGTTTCGCAAAAATTTCCAACTCCCTTTTGTTTAGGGGTAAATTTTTTAATAATCCTTTCTTAGTGCACACCTACGTTAGCTAAAGAACATTTGTATAAAAATTAATGCTTTTAGACCCAGCAGTTTCAGCTGTGCGTTGACCGATCAGTCAGAGAATCACTCTGTCAGTTTCTTCTTTTATTATTGCATATGTACAAAACGATAACTTTGTCTTTGACAATAATACAGAAACTGAGTATTATACTATTAATAAACATTTTTGGATTTGAGAAATCAATACGACCTTCAGACCTAACTGGCACGGCTTGTCGAAAGATACACAACACAAAAACTGCGTACAAACAATCTTATTGCACTTGCATCCAACTTTTAGTTTAGATACTCATAAATATCTGTTATAGCGTCATCTGATAAAAGGCTTTGATAATATTTCTAAATGTAACCTGTAACTTGTTATCCATAATAATAGTTTTTAAAATGTACGTTGAATCGAATAAGGTCTACCCACTATTTAGACTAAAAAGTCTAGACGTAGTACTTGCAAGCGACGATAAGAAAAGGTTTTTTTTGTTCTATGGTAGTTCGACATACTTAGCATAGCACTGTATAACATTTTGTCATTTTAAACAGAATACAATTATAAATTATAAAGTTACATCGTCTAAATTATTTAAATTTATACTAGTGAAAGTAATTAAAACAACATCATCTATAATAAGTTTAAAAATAAAGCTATTTGTTTATATTTACATAACTATAAAAGTAAAATTAAAACAGAAATGCAAAATCTTGAGTTCTGCATCAGCAAACCTTGAACAGCCGTAGGAAGAGAATACATGAAAAACTTAAACGATTACATTTTATCCATATAAGATAAAAGTATGGAAATATGCCTATATTTCCATACTTGTATCTATCTAATGATTACTTACATACAAAAATCAATGTTTATTTGATTCTAGTCTAATATATAAAATTCTCGTGTCACGGTGTTAGAAGTTGAACTCCTCCGAAACGGCTCGACCGATTTTCGTGAAATTTTGTGTGCCTATCGGGTAGGTCTGAGAATCGGCTAAATTCTATTTTCCATACCCCTATTCTTTTTTTACAAAAGAATTTGAAATAATGTAAATGGCAAAATAACGTTTGCAGGATCAGCTAGTACTCTATAAATAAATTTATTATACTCGTTGACATTCAGTATCTGTCATAAAAAAGTATTGCTCCTAAGTTATGGCAAAATTACTTTTGGCCACGAAATGCCACGAGAAAAAACTAGTACTGGCAATAAAAATTTAAAGAGCCTTACATCGTCCTTTATCCACCATCTGACGGCCAACTGTAGCACCGCGTGCGCTCATTGATCATGTTAAAATTACCAATTATCGTTCCTTTTCACGCAATTACTCCCCACATAGAATAGAATAGAATTATTACACATATTGCACGAAAGAAAAAGAGAAAAGATGTTACACATCAAAAATAGATAAGAGTGCTCGGTTTTCCTAGTTAGTGTGAGTTAGGTATTACCGTGACTCAAAGTGCCAGTTAACGACAATTAGCTTGTCCCTATTGTTGTATCGTTAAGAGTGGGATCAAATTCTACTAGGCAGAACGTCAGCATGACTTTCCCTCTTCCTACCCGACGATACAGAAGTGAAAGCATGCATATATTTATGTGTAAAAAATAATATTTTATAATTTCAGAGCCGATATCGACGGTCAATATTTCGGGTATGGATTGGCTTCAACACGGTGATCTATTGAACATGGTAGTGAAGTACACAGGGTCACCGCCTTTCGATTATTGCATACAATACAAGCTCGGAGACTACAACATCACCGGCAACGAGACATGTGATGTGAAGAGTACCACCATATCTAATACATTTCGCCTAGTACATTACTTCTCCGACAGCGACCGACACACTGTCGTTGTGGTGTTAGAAAATGAAATTGGAAAAAAAGCTGCTAGAGCTACGATTAATATTTATAAAGGTAAGATTTCTTCGTAAATATATTCACTTGCGATATTCAATGTAGGTACGTAACTAATACCAAATCTCAAAAACGGTAAAAGTATTTTCAAAATCGGATTAGTAGTACCCTAGATTACACCGAAAATACTCACAAACTTTACCTCTTTATAATAATGGTATCTAATAATATCTATATTATATAAGTAATAGTATCTTTTTTAGTTTCGGAGATTTTCTAAAGTTCTATAATAACATATGTTAGTTATATAGGTATGAACAAATGAAAACATTTGTACAAAATTTAAAATCATCTTAGACAAACCCTATGATTGAAAACTATTGGTTAAAATCTGTTAACATAAAGCCATTAAGGTGTAGAATGTTATATTATTATTTGTGCATTAAAGTAAAAAAAACATATATATTTAAATTCAATCAATTGCTGCTACGGATAGAGTTGACCCTCACATATCTCAAGGCAGACCAGAGAGTGACCCGAACCAGGAACCCATCCAGATCTGGGCCCGTCTTAGCATTCTCTCCCTAAAACAGACCACTTGGAAAGCACACACTTGACAGTTCTAGAATATCCTGCAGCAAAATAAGACCTAACTAGCCAAGTCGAAACTTGCCAAAAAGTAATATACACATATTTCCACGAGCACTATCCAACCGCAACACACTATGCTCACAAAGGTAAGGAAAACAAGTTTAAAACTCAATTGAGAAAGAGAAAGAGGGACCTTCTCAAGCTAGCCTTTCAAAAAACTAATTTTGTCCTCATTCTTAAGAAAAGTGAAGTAATAGATCCCAGGTACACTAGAGCGATCGCCCTAAACAATAAAATTTCTAAAATATTTTTCTCCTGTCTTCAATTAAAAATAATACAGTTTATGTCAAACAATAATTACCACAGACCAAATCACCAGAAAGGGTTCATGCCCGGAATCTTTGGATGTCTGGAACATAACTCATTACTTGCAGAAAGTCCAAAGATGCTAGGAAAAATGAAAGGCAAATCAAAGTCTGTTGGATAGATTTAGAATACGCCTTCGGCTTATTACGACACGAGCTCATGTTATTGCCTGGAAATGGTGTAACTTTCCGCTACTAGCTTGTGAAATAATTGCATTATACTATAGTAAATCAAAATATAAACTGAATAAACTTGAGCGACTCCAAAACCTATGTATTGGATTCATATTTGGATTACGCAAATATGATCACATCTCAGAGTATCGTTTTAAACTCAAGTGGCTACCAATACGCTTTCGCCGGAATCTTCATATTCTTTCTCTTTTATACAGTGTTCTGTTTCATCCCCGCACACCCTCTTATCTCAAAGAACGTTTTCAGTTCTTACACAACACACATTGCAGGGACCTAAGGCCATCGGAGAATTTAAAACTAAATTCATTCATTCATAAATTCGCAACATTCCACCCAGTTTGCAGACAAATCTTTTACTGTGCAAGCAGTAAGACTTCTGAACAACTTGCCTTTGACAATCCGACAAGCTAAAACCTTGCCCGCTTTCAAAAAGCTACTGAAGGATTTTTATCTGACATTTTAAATACTGTTGGTTTCGTTATATATAGTATATATTTTGGACTGTATATATATATATGTTGTGTGTATGTCTATTAAATATGTATATATAAATATGTATATGTATATTTATAAATTTTGTTTATGTATGTGTGTATGTATGTATGTGTAATTGAACAGATGTTTATTTGTGTATGAATGCTTTTGTTTATATTTTACTACTTAACTACCCAACTTTTAAATAACTGATATCCGTTTCAAGGTTGTCTGGAAGAGATCGCCGCGAGCGATAAGACCGCCGATTGTTACGTCTATGTATTTATAATGTCTTAACTGTAAACAATAAATATATAAATAAATATGTAATCACAGCAAAAGAGGGACATACAAAACCCTTCGATCACAAAGTAGGGTTGTTCCAAGGTTGCTGCAGTATGCGTAGTATTTAATACGGTTAAAAATATATTATTAGACAATAGCGCAACAGAGGTGGGGCCACCGGAATCTGTAGTATATTTTCCAATGTCCTTAGACAATGGAAAATATACAGATTCCATCTTAACATTCGCAGACGACCTTGCGATTCTCAATTTAACCTGAAGCAGTGCCAAGAACTACTGCGTAGGGTGGATGAGTTCTGTACCTGGACGAAGGAAATGAGGACAAAACCTAGCAAATGCTTTGTCTGGGCCGGCGAGGTACCAGATATATCTCATACGACCCCTTGATTACTATTGCTGTGGGAAGTGTTTCAAAAATATCAGAAACCGTGCCATTTAAATTCCTTGAAAGAAAGATAGACTACAAAGGTCGTACTCCATCTATAAACGCAATAGTCGAATACTTCGTAAAATACATTGAGAACCAGCCAATTGACCAAACCAGTAGACCAACAGCCAATAAGTAACGTAAAAGAAGCTTGGATTTACGACAACTACTTACTTACATCACGACTCAACTGGGCTGTTTTTGGTATACGATATAAACCAGAACCGGTTAAGAACAATGGACGCGAAAGTCACTAAGACATTGAAGTCGTGGCTTGGGCTGGAACCATCTGCAGACCCGTCAACGTTGTACAGGGGCTCGAGTGAGTAGCTCGTAAAATTAAAAAGACCTTTAGAACTCTGCAACTCTTACAAACAGAGTAAGAGTTACCAAAATGCATGTCTTGTCAAAATCACAAGACGAAATCTTTAGATCCCTTACAAAACACAAATATTCATCAGAGCTCGAGACCCGGCTCCAATTCCACAAGAAATGTATGGTGGGTACGCAGTCCAGTAGAGTTGGATTGGGTAATGCTAGAAGACAAACTGACAAGTGATAACAAGATCTTTCATACAACAAGATGAATACGAGACCTACAAGGTGCACGCAATGAACCTAGAAATACAGAATGAACGGCTAACTGTGGGAGAATTTTGGTATCCCACCAGCTTTGAAATGGCCCACACTTTTATACAATTGGTCACCTGCCTTCAATTAAATCTACCCAATCAAAGCAACCTAGTAAAGTTGGGAAAAGCTACAGAAAAGGCTTATACGCAGTGCGGAAAAAGGGATATTATTATTATTATTTTTTTTTTGTTTAATAATATGAACCTATACATTTATTATATTCTAATCAATTTAATGATAATATTTCAGAAGATCAATAAATATTTTTTTATTAAAGGATTCTATATGATTCTTTTAAGCGAGATCATTTTGTAAGATTAGGCGGCGCAAAGAGAGACACATTTTATTTGTATGTAAAACACCTCTGTCACACATTTCGAATACTATGTCACAATGATTTTGTAAAAAGCAAAAAAAAAAAAAAACGGAATTTTAGTATTATTATAATCTCTGTATGGTCCAAAAAATCTTGTGGAAATAAAATTTGAGAAACTGCAATTTTGGACAAGAACCGATTTTTTTTCAAGAAGAGACACGTCATTGTCGGTAGAAAAGTAGAACGCCCCATATACCACCACTCACCAGTGACTGTCGATTATTAGTGGACACGTATGAAAATCATTACTGAATACCAGGGGATATCTGTGCCTTGGCGTCCAGACCAGACAGATTTCTTTATGCAATGTCAATTAAGCGTGAAGTACTTGTAGAACTCACGGTGCCGTGGGAAACGAACATCAAAGACCACGCTTTAAAAAGAAACAAGTACTTTGACTTAACCAACGAAAAAACTAAAAATGGTTATTTCGTTGCGTTGTATGCCGTGGAAGTAGGTGCGAGGGGTATACCAGTTATATCTCTTTATAACCTGCTGAAAGACCTTGGATTACCAAGAACTTTACTAAGCTCTTTTCTAGAACCATTGCTAGGCTCGTATCAAACATGGTTAGGTAGAGGGGGTAACAGAGCAGAGAGTGGAGGTGAGCGCTCATGCGTCGCAAGGAGTACTCCCTAAACCTACTCCTGGGTCGCAATTCCCAGGCACTGTCGAACAACAACATACCTTTTTTTATACTTGTATGTCAAACCTCCTTTCTAAGGAGAGGCCTATGTCCAGTAGTGGACTATAAAAGGCTGTTGATGATTGATTGATTGTATGTATACATAATATTAGATAGTAGCGGATGGAGTCGGACTGCTCAAGACCGTGGTAATTGGCGCTCCTTGGGAGAGCCTTTCGTTCAGCAGTGGATGTTGATAGGCTGATGAGGATGATGATAGTGTATTATTAGTATAATATTAAGAACGAATGTAAGATATTTATGATGTCAAAATAATCTGCAAAATCTTTTTTCTAATGTTTTCAGTGACCGTCCATCCACAACTATCTGTTATAGTGGTGCCAGTGTTTTTCTGCTCCATTGCTGTTATTTTGGTTGTATTCGGCATTGCCTACTATCAACATCGCTCCAGGTGTGTATCTCACTTTTTAATTACTACTGTGTAGAGGTTCTGTAATTTAATTCCGCTCACTGATTAGGTCCAGTAAAATAAGCATGTGCATAAATAATTTAAAAAGCTCAGTTTAATAAATAAACAAAACGTGTCAGTTGTTGGAGCTGACAGAGCTCGACAGACTTTTCTTGATGTGTCGAAGTTTGTAAAATATACATTACTACCAGTTACCACTGAGCCACCGAGGCAGTAGATAAAGTTCGAATCTTAGTTCAAAAAATGATAATATCTTTTATTTCATGTCTATAATTGTTTTCGATTTTCGTACTGTTCGTTTATAATAGTAAATTTATCGATTCCTTAGGGCTTGAAGGAGTTTTGGATCTTTACTTTTAATTGTTCTTAAAAATTACAGGCATACGGTTGAAGTAGCAGACTTTGACTTTGGTCAAGCGCATCTCGACTACAAGACGTTCACGGAGCGACTTCGCGATAGCTTCAGTAACGCGTTCAACTTCCGTAAACGGGACGATACAGAAGCTCTCACATCGAATACTAGATATGACTCTATGACGTAAATACATAAGCTATTTACGATTACTGTGTGATATGTTTGTCTTGATAAGGATTTGATATAATGATGTCGTCCAGTTCGTCGCTAATATAAATTTATTGAAGCGGTCGTAAATTTATGTTGTTTTTTTCACGATATCTGGCCGAAATCCAAAATATTTTTCTTATGCTCATAAAAATTGTGAATTGGCAAGCCATTGGCTCTTTACTTTTAGGGTTTAGTGTCTGGCTATTTTGAGTTCAGTTGTAGTGTCACTAATATTCCAAAAAAAAAAAAACGATAAAACAATTGGCTAGTCCATTCACTAACCCTTTGTACCCTAGGATCAAGTTCGTCACTACATACGTCGGTACATACGGGTATGTTATGGAAAAGTCGTCTAACATCTTCCTATACGACGGTTACAATACATACTGAATGATTTTCAAATAGATAAATAACTAAGAGCCAGATATACTCATTTAAATTAATTAACAGAATCGACAAATTGAACTGTGACTGTCAAGCTAATTAGTAATTATTTTATCCTAGCTTCTGTTGAGAAAAAATAAGGCCAGCAATGGCGTAGGTTTTTTTGATTTTTGACACCGAATTTGTTATGTCCGACTTGTTGGTTATCGGCGGCGACATAAATTTGCGACGGGTTGTAGACTACGTAAATGTAACAATTGCCGCTCGTTTAAAATCCTATTTACGCACGCTCAAAGTTTGCGCTGAGTTTTAAAAAATTAAGCCGAGTGACAATGATTGTAGTTATAGTGTTATTCTGATCCCCAACGAGAAGTTATTCAGTTAAAGTTTTCACAATGATCGTTGCATTAATTGCTTTGCTAACAGATCCATTGAAGTATTTTATTATCTATCTAATTAATCAACTCAACAACAAAAATAACGTAGAACATTTATACACACGTCATGAGTGTAAGTGCGCAATATAAGTTCATTAAACTGAGTTACTGATGACTTTTTAACCGAGGCAAGTGTAACCGAATTTGCCCTTTATTCTATTGAAGGTTAAGATTATTAATCAAAAACATATCTACTAAATAACTGTCGGTGATCAGATTATGTAAATTTTCTGTGTCAAATATTAAAGTATTAATAACTATCATAAGTCTACTATCATAAATTTATATTTATCGTCATTCATTCCAGTTTAATTTATTGTTTTGTTTAAAATATCTTATTGAATATAATTTTTTGTATATAGAAAGACACATATAATTGTGTTGAAGCGTAGCTGCGTTTGGACAATTCAAATATTATTTCTATTTTGGGTTACTAGTATTCGAGTCACGATTCAGTTACGATGCTATCCCAACTGGTTTACAAAATGAAGAATATTCGTTTGATCTGAAACGCCGTCGGGCTATCTCAATACACATAAATTAACTCAACATTAGTAGTCCATAAAATTATACATACTGCATTATAAGAATATGTAGATTTAAGTTATCACTATGCTTAATACGAAGTATCCTTTGCCTCAGAAACGTGTTTGATAAGTTGACAAACTTTCATTATAATTGTGGTAATACGTCGAAACTTTGGCCGATTATAGACGTGTAATTAAATATAAATGTGATCTATCACATCTATGTATCCGTCTTGTCTCTATTGTGTCATTTGAAAAATATTTTACCAAAAAGCATGTATTTATAAAAGTTATTTAACAGACTGACGTATGTAAAGAATATTATTTTTTTATTGTTAATATTTTCGTTTATGATTCTTTATTATCGTTACTCATACCTCTTGCACTATTATACGGATTGTTGATTATCGGCTTTACTTACATTATTCGTCACTTTATATCGAAGTATAAAAGAATATGATATTAGGCTGCTAAATGTTATTCGACATTATTTTTGTGGAGTGTTGAAGGACTGAGACGCTAACAATCCTGTCAGTGTCTCTTCTTCTTCTAATGTTTTAAATTAAAAAGATATTAAATTCTGGGTTAGTTGTTGCATTTTGAGCAGATAGTGCAATAGGTGTGAGTAATTTCAAAATTTTATGCTTATATTATTTGTGACACTAAATAATATTAGTGCTCCATTAAGGCTGACGCACACCGGGTGATCAGTCATCGTTTGTGATATATTAGGTTAATCAAATTAGTCTTTAATCGATCACGTATTTAAAATATATATTTGCGTCACAAGTATACAACTGATTGATATGATTATGGAGATCTTTCAATGTTAAATTTCAGTTGCCCCATTCGACATGCTAGTCAAATTTGGGAGAGAAGTTGTAAATGATTAAATATAATACTGAAAAAATCTTTTTCCAGTAATTACATTTATGAAACCTGTAAACTAGGTATAATTAAAAATAATTTGTCACATCTTTACCTCAGAAAAATCACAATACCAGTTCTAAATAATTATTTAATTCAGAAAATAAAGATATAAAAATATCATTCTTATATACTTATGACGCTAAATATTATACAGCTAATGTGTAGTTACAATAAAAAGTTATTTAAATATTCTGAGTTTCACTGTTTATTTCATATCCATCCGAACCATATGATAAAGGTCATAAGTTGATGGCGAACGTCATATAACTGAGATAAATAATAGAATGAGTTCATCTTTATTTATTAATACAATGACCTGTCTGTATTATTCGACTTACACATAACACTAACTGTATTTTTTGAGATGTTTAATTTCTGACTAAGAAATGAATTTTCTTTCCAAACATAAACATACTGTTTTTTTTAGAAAACTAATCAAATTTTTCCCCCAATCGTATAATTTTGAGAGGACTGCCAAAAATAACCTTTGAGACCTATTGTTTTAAATCTGAACATAAGTTATCTTCTTTAAGCCGTGTGCAGGATGCGTGAAAATATTATTATTAAAATAATCTAGACGTATTATAAGGTAACGCGTAGTAGCTAATACAGCCCAGTAGCCCATACAGCCTTTTTAATTTCAGAAACTCCACTGTCACACTCTTACCGACTAAAAACCACCCTGGTGTTCCTCTGCTTGCCAATGGCGAAGGGAAGCGAGTCACAATTGCATTCTTGCGTCACCCCCGACAGACTATTGATCTAAACATACCCTAGTAAACCTTTATTATCTCAAAGTCTATATTTCCAAGTGCTATGAATATTATGTTAGCCTAATTTTATTCTCTACGTTATTATCAGTCCAGTTAAACGTGACGGACATTAGGTACATGTACCTAACCTACGTCGCAAGAATGTACAATATTACGATGGTTGACATTCTTATCAAATTAGTGTGTATGTCGGTTTTCGCAGTAAAAAGTAGCCTATGTTACTCGCTGATAATGTAGGATACCATTGCGTCTCCCGAGTGCTTGTTTGTCTTATCTACCATTGATTGAATTTTACAGGACGAAGTTTTTTTTGCCCTATTGAAAAACAAAGCCATAGTTTCCAGAGTTTTCCCAAATACATGAGTTACCAATTAATTGATTTTTAGAATTTTCATCTACTGATGGTAGCTAGATATATCTTATTTTACAGTTTTAGTATGGAGATAGAACAAAAACGCACACATAAAATTATGAATGTGGAGATAGGACACTACCTCATTGGAGATAGCACAAAGTGACCGTTCCATTTGTGCGTGCTTATTTGTTCTGAGTGCCAAATATATTATACAGGTGACAAAGGTTATTATACAGGTGGTAGTTGACAAAGATAAAAAATCTTTAAATAAACACTACCGATTTGGAAAATTAATATTCTTTTTTGTTGTGTTCGTTAGTGTGAGAAAACGGTTTGTGTAAAGGGCAATTAAAAAAAAATCGTACAGAGTAAAATATCATCTTGGTTATTATTAGTTTCGCTTTTTTGTTTTTTTTTTTATTTTCTTGTCTTTTGTGGACTTCTTCACATTTTTCTCTCCTATAGTTTTATTTTCTTTAATAGGAATCTTCTTCTCATTTTTCTTTTCTGTAGTTTTATTTCCTTCAGTAAGTTTCTTATTCTTATTTTTACCTCCTTTACTTTCATTTCTTTCAGTGAGTATATTCTTTAGATTTTTACTTCTCATAAATTCGTTTCCGTCGGAGGCTTTAAGCAAATTAAGATTTGAGCGTTTATTAAAACATTATAGGTATAACATTTAATACAAATAATAATGTCACAGCGACAACAATAAGGCATTAAGCAGAAGTGCCACAATTAAAAAAAAAGTTAATGTGCAACCAAAGCGCTCATGAAAAAAAAGCTACACAAAATTAAAGTATTACGTCAAAATTTGCAAGGCGGTGAGCAAAATTGTAAACCAGATTTAGAAGCGAGTAAAATTTTTTTAGTAAAGTAGTACCAGCCCTGTATACCAGCGAATAGGCCATTAAATCATATAACAAAACACTTTATTTTCAACTTTAACACACCAGAATTAGTTAGTAAATAAATTCTTAAGTACCTTTATTTTACATGCCAAATAACTTGTCATTTTCTGCTTTCCTCGAGTAGTTAGATGTTTGAAAAAAAAAGTTTATACTATATATATATTATAGTTTATATTTATTTTTTATCAATATTTTTGGGAGCAACGAAGCGTCTCTTGTCATGTCGCCAGCCACAATAACAAACCATACAATATGGCGAACATAGCGTTGTAGACTGTGGTTGGACTTGTTACGACGTAGGACATAGAACCAAAATTGGACGTAGAATAAATAAGCACAAAATTTTCTTTACAATATCGTGTCACAAATAAAATTCAGATGGTTTTTATGTTATTTAAAAAACAAATAGTATAAAAGCTTTTTTAACCAACAGGTGTGAAATTTAAGTCTTAATAATACTACATTTAAAGATATTTTTTGATAAAATTGGTCGATAGGACAAATAAACACTCGGGCGACGATTGGTGAAAGAATTTTAAAATCGGTTTAGTTATATAGGCGTTAAAGCGTAAGAAACACTTCACTTTCACAGTATTTATATTTTAAATATAACTGTTTAAAATTGGTCGATAGGACAAATAAGCACTCGGGCGACGATTG